TGTTTACCACCTAATGGAAGAAACATTAGGCAAATTGAAGGATCAATGCAAGTAATGATTAGAAGTAATGTTTCACAGATGTATGCTTCTTCCAACCACTTTAAACTCACAGGAATGGGACAGACATGAGGTCACTGACCCTGACCTTTGACCACCAAAATCTAATCAGTTCATCCTTAAGGCCAAATGGACGTTTGTGCCAAATCTGAAGAAATTCCTCAAGGTGTTCCTGACATATCGCATTCACAAAAAAGGGACAGGCATACGGACGGAAAACCCAAAAACAAAATGCCTCCAGTCATGGCTAATGTCAGTGTGAAGGTATGAAAGATGTCCATAGCAGTACTTTTGAAAGCATCTTTAAAATACTTGTACTGTCAAGTACAAGCCAAAGCCACAGCTGAAAACAGTCCCCAATTAATATACTAATTTTGACAACCAAAATCTAACCAGTTCATCTTTGAGTCCAAGTAGGCACTTGTGTCAAATTTGAAGAAATTCCCTCAAGGTGTTCCTGACACATCGCATTCACAAAAATGGGCCGGACAGTGGCGCCAACAGGATTGTATTTTACAGTATGCATAAAGCCACTTATGGCAGCATTTTGCTGCCATCATGAAACAAAATGTTTTCTAAACTCGTTATAATGGGATCCTTCCACATAAAACAAAAAAAAAAAATCCCTCTGGCTGCAGCTACAGTATCACTGGCATAGAGGCATAAAAACATAATGTCAGTAAAAGGCTATACAGTGTAGCTACTGTATTTGAAGAGTAAACTCACCTACACCTTTATTAGCTGGGTCAAGAGTTATAACCTTAAGAGATTTAACCAGTACACCTTCAGGCTGGAAAAAAAAAGACAAATATTAGAAGTCACAGCTATGTTTACATTACAATTATGTGCTGGTGTGCAACAAAGCAACAGTATGGGTTGCTTGTTAAAGTATTTTTTTTTCTTCTGTTTATTTTTTCTGCTCGCCTACAGTGACTCATCATAATGATTACAGGTTAACTTGCCTTTCAGTTTAATGGCTCTGTCCAAAATCAAGAACAAACAACAACATTAAACAAAATGGTAACTTTAACCCAAACTGTGTTTCCCTAGCCAGAAATATCTATTTAAGTTATAACCCAAACATAATCTGTTCGCTAAACCTAACTATATTTTAAAGACTGAGTTGTCCAATCATAAAATCACTATTTTTCTGCAGTAATTTCTAACAATTTTGGAAGACAGATAAATTATGTCATTCTGCCGATAATGGCTTCAGTGCAGAAAACACTCCTGTGTATCATTCTAGAGGGCATGAACAAACAGTGTATTCTGTCATTTAATCTGGAGGACCAGTTATGTATGACATATGTTGGCTAATTGAGCATACACAAAATATGGGCATGACACACACATAGAACAGTGGCTGTGCATTGGCTCACAGCAAAGCCAGATTTACACAGTAAATGTTGTATTGATAAAATAGGCTATGAACTAACAGCAAGCATACACACAAAGTACACAACATACACAGCAGTGGCTATGCACCAGCTGATATGAAAGCCAGCTTTACAAAAATCTTGATAAGACCACCAGCCACTGACATAGTTTCACAGGTAAGTGTCAGACAAACAGTTAATACTAGGCTAATGTGCATTAACCCTGCTGTACAGTGGCAGTGCATGAAAAATTGGTCTCCAAAAGTTTTCTTGCACTTGGGATTCACACTGATAAAAGCTTTCATCATGTCTTGTAGACCCCATTCAACTGCTCGACAATGTCTTTGTGCACATGTATAAGTATAAGGTACATCAGCTATCATTATGTGTGCTGCAGGTGCTGGTGCTGCTGTCAGTTGTTGCTTTTGATTCATTTGGTTTTGCTCTTTTTGATGTATTAATAAAGAAATGTCACTAAAGAAATAACTAAAGAACTAATTAGAGAACTAACTAGAAATAACTAAAGAACTAATTAGAGAACTAACTAAAGAACTATCTAAAAAGAAATAACCAAAGAAATCTGCTTTTGCGCCACCATTTTCTTGTGCTGTTGCATGCCTCTTTGCAGCAAGTTAAGGTCACGCACTTGTTACAAAGAGGTAACAACAAACAAAGAGTTTGGCAAAACTGACTGAAAATGTGGAACACAAGAGCCATTATTAACCACTTACTAAGATCAGAATATTATTAGAATATGAACATAACCAATAGAAATTAAATTGTTTTTTATTATTTTTGTTTTAAATGTATAGTTGTGCTGAAAATGCAAGTCCTTTACCATCCTCCAGGGGGTGCTGCAGCACCCTCTGCACCCCTACTTCCCACTGCCTTGCCCACATGAGGTACCTCGCAAACTCAAATGAAAAGAGGCAATGATCATGTCCAGATGAAGTGCCCAGGTAAGACTTGATCCTCACCAACATTCCCTCTCTTTTACCATGTCTTCTATTTTATTTGCTGGGGGGGAGAACACAAGGTATACGCCAGAGACATGGCACCGGAGATCCAGAATGAATAGTTAAGCTGCAAATAGGCAACTTCTCCACAGATGATCAAATACTACGTAGGGGAAGGCAATTGCACGCCAGTAGAGCTGATACATTCCATGTGAATAGTAGTAATGACAGGGTAAGCAACAAATCAGACAGTCAATGGTAGGCAGCTGGCAAACAGCGGCTCCATCTTGAATGCTTAGTCAGCAAAAGAATATAAGATCAGAATAAAAATAACTTTAAGATATACCCAGTAGATGAGTTCTGTTTGTCTTACCACCACCCGCAGCATCTTCATGATTCCATCACTGAGTGATGAGTCTCTAACGGATGCTTTGACCTCAATGCGGAATTCTCCATTCTTCATGGGAATAATGATGAAGGGTACAGATCGTGTAGTTTGGGCCCCAACTCTGACCTCCTGACGATACTTTCCACGTTT